CCATATCTCGATTGATGTAATATCTTTATATTACAATTAATTTGTATTTTTTTTGTCCGATTAACACATAAAGATTTGATGTTGATGTTTTCTAGCGGGAACACTGTTCACATAAAACTGTCTCTTTAGATATTAATAGATTACACATTTCAGTGCGGGAAATCAAAAGTTACGTGTTTGGTTATAAAGTTGATTGATAGCCTGATAAGCCGAAAAACCGAGTCACCAAACGGGCTCTAAGATTGTCTTATATCAAATTTGGTAATGTTGTGTGGTTCAAAATCATTGTTGCTTCATTCTCACTTTATCAATCACATAAATTCGCTTTTCATGTCAACCACACCACTTTCTCTTGTACTAATGTTAGGGGAACCTAGGTAGTAGCAAATTAGGTATATTTAAGAGCTCATTTGGTAACTCATTATTCATCTTATCAGCCTTATCGATCAAAATTTTTACCAAGCACGTAAAATAAACATGTAACGTTTTGGTAATGACTATTTAGTACTCCCTGCGTCTAGTTAAGATAATCTCATCTTTTCTTTCTTGTCATCACACTACGAGTCCACTTGATAACACTGAAATCGGTTGATTCTGCTGAAATTTATGAAGTTATGGCTGAAATGGTAGTATTGGCTGATTCTATCACTAGTAAAAAACAACCTTACAGTGACACTTTTTTAGTGACACTTTCTGATAATATAAGACTAATGACACAAAAGTGTCACTAATTTCTAACACCAAAATATCACTATCGAATATCGACACTTCGGATTTTTTTATTCAATACGAAACTAGTATTCGGCTAGCTGGGCCGGCCCGGGTGTGCGCGCAAACATTTTTTAGAAGCTAACACTTGGTATTTTTCATATCCCCACTTCCTCTCACTTAGGTTTTTTCCAAATCTCCCCTTCCATATCGATTATCTCCCAGAGCTTAAGCCGCACGAACCCTACCTTCAAGATTTACTTCGTCTTCTCCGTCTTCTTCAAGAGATGGATCAATTTTCCTACGGTTGACCTGCTTGTTCCCCTCATTCTTTGAATCGTTGTGCCTCTGCCACTGTTCATCATTCCAGTCCAGAGACAAGAGTCCAGACTTCGTCCGCTACTCCGCATCGCTGAACCTGCCGGCTGCCTCCCTGCATCACGAAGTCCGAACTCACAAAGTTATTGAAGAAGGTATATTGCAGCAGCTAGCATCGAAGGGAAAACATGCTATTGAACTGAAAGTAGACAAAGTTCTGCATCTTGGGACCGTTGACCAGATTAACTATCCACTGTCGAAGAAACCCTTGCCCTTGACGCTTTTAAGGGATTGGCCTCACTTCCGAACAAGAACTACAACGGTGATTCATATTTTCACTTTTCAACTTTTGCCCACTCATCCTTTTTCTAGTATGACCTTAGGATTGCTTGCTTTATATAAAATCAACTGATGTATCTGCCAAACTCACGTCCCTACCCCTGCTTGCTACCAGTTGCCTAGTTTTTGGGTAACTTTGGTCATTATTTGCTTTAATTAATTATTTACTTTACAATTGAATTGATTAATTGCTTTAGGGTTTAAATTATTTGGCAAGTTTATTGATAAATTACTTTAATTATCATAGAATTTATTATTTACAATCAAGAGTAATACTCAACTTCATATTTGTTTGGTTCATTGTCATCTCTGTAGTCTCATTACAATTAAGCAAATACTCTAAAATATTGGCTAGATTTTGATTTAATCTAAAATCATAGAATTGTGTATATATTTCAGGTTGCTGTTTTTCTGGTATTAAAGAAACTGAAAAAAAGTATTTGAAGTGGTGTAATTGGCTTTTATACATGTTCTCCGTAAGTTTGTAAATACACAGTAATATGTACTTGCTTTAAGTTTTAATTGAATCTTTATTGGTTTAAATCAGTACTTGGTTTATTCCAAGTTTTATTGATTCAAATAATTAAGAATTTAAAGTTGAAAACTTTTTTAACTTTCTAATTACTCATGTGATCATTTCTAATTTATAATTTGTTGCAACAGACTCAGTGACAGACCTACTTCAAACACAACAGCTTCGTGGTTTGGGATCCTCACAGCCTTAAGCGTTATCTGGCAGCTCAACACCTATGTATGTCATTCATCTCACTATATGTCTTCTAGTTGATTAAATTCTTCTATATTAGTCAAGATTTTCTTTGATTAGTTCTCGTAATTAAATCAGTGAGTACCCCTACAAATGTGTTGCTATCGTTTTGGGGGGATTGAGTATGCCTTTGGGATTATGGGGAAGTTTCAGCGAAGTTCATGCTTTGTTTGGACTGACAGTAGAATCACATGAGTTTGTTGTTATTCATAACTGGGTATTACAATGCTATGTATGTTGTTATTCAAAACTAGACACATAATTCATGCATTATAACTTGAGTACATATCTGTAACCTATTTGATTGTATATGTGTATCTGCTTCTTTCTGCTTTCAATTTTCCTTTCACATATTGTTTGATCTAGCTTGTGAGATTGTTAGACAACACTTGGTATGTGTAGCATGTGAATGGTCAGATTCTGCCATGTGTTTTTTTTATCTTAGTCATCCCCATGAGTTTGTGGTCTGTAGGAACGTGATGAATGCTAGTTTTTTCTTTACACTATGGCATCAACCTACTAGTTTTTTCTTCATTTTTTTTTCCCATAAATTAAAATTAGCAACTCATATATGATTCTATCCCAATTTTGTCTTGTTTATGATTCTCCTGTTTTTTTTATTATTCTAGTCATCCCCATGATTTTGTGCTCTATAGGACCATCTTGAATGCTAGAATTTTCTTTAAGCTATTGAATCTACCTACTGCTTTTCCTTCATATTTTTTTTCCATACATTGAAATTAGCAATTCATATATGATTCTTTCCTAGTTTTATAAATCAGGATTCTACTTGTTTGAGTTGCTCCTTTTTTTCTTTGTGTTCACATATCAGGTGTTAATATGCAAACAGATAGGTCTTGGATTAGGGATGGAAACAGATTGTCTCCAGAATATATAAAAGGGGTCAATGATTTCATACATTGTGCTATACTTAGTTCTGCAAATCGTAGGTCAATTAGATGTCCATGCAAAACTTGTTGCAATATGGACTTTCAATCCCCTGAAAAAATTAAAGTCCATTTATTCAAAGTGGGCTTTCTGGAAACATATCTTGTTTGGACTAAGCATGGGGAGGTCGACAAAAGTCCAACACCTAGCACTTCTCATTCACAATTTCATGACCACAACCAAATTGAGGACATGTTAGGGGACATTTATGATCAGTTAGGCAATAACCCTAAGAGTTTTAGGGATGTGATTGAAGATGCTGAGAAACCACTTTACCCAGGTTCAAGTTATTCAAAGTTGTCTGGGGTGATGTTATTATTTAACATCAAGGGGAAATATGGGTGGTCTGATCAAAGTTTTACTTCATTATTAGAAGCACTTTCAGACATATTGCCTTCTGATAATTCCATTCCCAAGTCAATGTATGAGGCTAAGAAAATAATGAAGGTTCTAGGATTAGATTACCAAAAAATACATGCTTGTCGGAACGATTGCATCCTCTTTCATAAACAACACAGCGATCTTGATAAATGTCCTACGTGTGGGGAGAGTAGGTTTAAGGAAAAAAAGAATGGAGCTATAAATCTTAGCCATAGAATTCCTGCGAAAGTGTTATGGTATTTTCCTCCTATTCCGCGGTTCAAACGCATGTTCCAATCAACCAACACAGCTGAAAACATGAATTGGCATGCAATCGGCCGAGTAAGAGATGGTAAATTACGCCATCCAGCTGACTGTGCAGCTTGGCAACACGTAGATAAGACATGGCCAGACTTTAGTCAAGAGTCTAGGAATCTCAGATTGGCTTTGTCAAGTGACGGAGTCAATCCACACAGCTCACTTAGTTCTACATATAGTTGTTGGCCAGTTCAGTTAGTCATTTATAATCTTCCGCCTTGGTTGACCATGAAAAGAAAATTCATGATGTTATCTCTATTAATATCTGGTCCCAAACAACCCGGAAATGATATAGATGTCTACCTAGAACCACTGATCGATGACCTTAAAATTCTTTGGAACGAGGGTGTAGATGTTTACGATGCGTTTAAGAAGGAGATGTTCAAAATGAGGGCGATACTTATGTGGACTATTAGTGACTTTCCGGCATATGGTAACTTATCCGGGTGTACTTACAAAGGCTATTATGCATGTCCCATTTGTGGCCCAAAAACTCGTTCTACATGGCTGAAATTCAGTAAGAAGTGTGTGTATATGGACCATCGTCGTTTCTTACCTCATGACCATAAGTTTCGAGACTTGAAGAAGGTTTTCAACAACAAAGTAGAGAGAGAGGGACCCCCTGAAACCTTTTCAGCTCAAGATGTCCTCAAAGAGGTTGAATCAATAAACTACAAACCTGGTAAACGCAAGGAAAAGAAACGGAAACGAAAGCGTGGCAGCAAAGACCATGACCCGACAAGGTTATTTAAGCGCAAGTCAATATTCTTTGATTTGGAGTATTGGCAACATTTGCTAATTCGTCACTTACTAGATGTAATGCACATCGAGAAGAATGTGTGTGAGAACTTTTATGGCACATTGCTCGATCAACCAACAAAGACCAAAGATGGTCCAAAAGCTAGAAATGATCTTATTCATCTAAAGATAAGGAAAAGTTTGATTCCAGAAGGAAATTTTTTACCCCCTGCACCATACACTCTTTCTAAGGAAGATAAGAAAAAATTTTGCCAAACCATTCTAGAGACCAAGGTGCCTGATGGTTATTCATCTAACCTCAAAAGTATTGTTTCTGATGATGATTATCGACTTCAAGGTCTTAAGTCTCATGATTGTCACACGCTAATGCAACAAATACTTCCTTTAGCAATCCGAAATCTTTCTTTGTCAGCAAATGTGACTCATGCCATCACTGGTGTATGTTTATTCTTGAGGAGGTTGAGAAGCCAACGATTACCCCTAAGAAAACATTCACGGCATCTATTCCTAGAAGATCTCCCAGGCACACCTCTACCACATCTAAGGGGATTCAACCTAAGCCACCAATAGATGAAGATGAAGAACGTCCAAAGAGACGATATGTAAAAAGAAAGGTAACATTAAAAACATCTAAGAATATCAAATGATAATATTAACTATTAAAATCTTAAATTTGTATGGCAGGTCGAAGAACTTGGAGAAAGGACCGTAGAGGGAGATTTTGCAGGACAACCTTGGTTTCAAACTGAAGAGGAAGAAGAACAATGTCCAAAAATTGTAAAGGTTGAAATGCCGAGTCCAAAAAAGAGTGAACAGAGCAAATACTTTCCACGGAGATCCCCCCGCCACCTCCCACAGAAGACAGAACCAGTTTGCTGTGTTGTTCCATTACAGGATAAGGGTATAGATTTGGAGAAGGGTGATGTACAGGTTGTGGAAGTACGTAGTAGGCCTGAAATGAAGAAAAAGGTCGCACCAGCTTCCAGAAAACTGAATATGCAACGGACCACGAGGTCATTGGTGGATAAAAGAAAAGAAAAAAGCATTAACATGAACATGTTCTCCTTCCTAGTTGACAAATGCATGGGTGACGGGTATACGATCCAGAATGATGCAGATGTGTTTGGGTTCCCTACCAAAACTACCTTTAACAAGGACATGTGCAACTTAGTCATCAACTGTCAGAAGGTTGCAAACTCAATCATAGAACTTTGGTGCAAGTAAGCGTCTAGATTTTTTTTTTGTTTAGATTCTTTTTGAAGTTAAAATTTTACCCCATATAATCATTACTATATGTAGGTCCCTTCATGAAAAAATGGTGGACAACGGAGGAGAAATGCCTGTACAGTTCGGGACATCTGTGGCTATACACCGTCCTAAAAAAGCGTCTGAGGAGTCGATGAATAGAAGGTCCCATTACGTGGCAGACCTTCTTGGAGTTGGGTTACCTGGACAAATTACACTACTACCGTATAATGCAGGGTATTATTTGAAATAATGCCTTTTGTTAATGTTATTTCTATATAATGGTTAATTGTCAAGGATTTTTCTCACACAGGGACCATTGGGTGTTGGTTGCCATTGATGTGGAGATGGGAAGAATGTATTACTTGGATTCCATCGGAGGAATTCCACCAGAAGATTTGAAGATAATTGTCACTCAGTTAAGCCATAATCCGCCTAAAAAGCACAATTTTCTTTGTTTTCTTGAGTATTGTGAATGCCTAATATACTGCCTTTCTTAACTAATTGTGTACTTGACTGTTTGTTCTCAGAGGAGTGCAAATGTATCATGCTCTGAAGTCAAAAGACAGATTGAAATTGAACTGGATCACAGTCAAGGTATATATCCATTTCAATTAATGGTTGTATTTTCCCAATACATTCTTTATAAAACTTTTAAAGTAACAAATTTAAATGTGTGTAGTGTCCGAAGCAAAGAGGATCATTGGAGTGTGGGTACTTCGTAATGAAGTACATCAAAGAAATTATCGGTGATGTTGATGTGCTGAAAAATAATGTGAGTCAAATTAATCATTTAATCATGTTCATTAGTACACTGGTAGTGTGTTTTTGTTTGTTGACATTTCAATGAAGTGCCGCAGAACATTTCATTTGACTTTAGTAATGCTTAGTATGGATTGTATGGTATTGGTGTATTACTGATGCATAGGCGTTCAGAGATTTAAATTCTGGGTGTTGCTGTGTTATTAATATTGGGCAGTAAGTTTAGTTTGATTAGCATAGTTTGGACATGTTTAACTTTTCTAAGACAATGCATTATGTTTGTTAATGATTTGAAGTACAAACGAGGTTTAAGTACACTGATCTGTGTTTGTATGTTGACATTCAATGAACTGTTGTAGAACCTTTTATTTCACTTTAGTAATGATTGGTATGGAGTGTATGGTGTTGGTGTATTACTGATTCATAGGCGTCGTCCAAAGATTTCAATTTTAGGTGTTGGTGTATTATTAATGTTAGGTAGTAAGTTTAGTTTGACTAGTATAGTTTGGGCATGTTTAACTTTTCTAAGACAATGCATTATGTTTGTTAATGATCTGAAATACAATTAAGGTTAAGTTAGATGAAAGAAGACATGAGAATAATTTTTTTTTTGCAAACCAGTTGGGTAATAAATTGCTTTTGCAAATCAGTTGGGTAACAATTAAGGTAAATTGCTTTTATTTACCTTTGAGGGGAGAGTTTGTACTTTTGTAGCCCTCAATTCTTTTGTTTCGGTCCTTTAAGGACACCTCATTGAGATGCTTGAGTGGTACTCAAAATGGTTTTAGTGCTTCAGTTTGTTTATGCTTAATTATTGATTTTGGTAGTCTTTTGTGAAGGAAATATAAAGTTTGTATTTTGGTGTTGTTTTAGTTCTCCACAGTCAATGAGTACTCTGAAGATGACATTCTGCAAGTGCGTGAGGAATGGATCTCATATGCAGCAAACCTAATCAAAGAGTAAGTTAAATTTGTACTCCTTGAAATAAGTGTGTTAAAAATGTAATTTCCAACAATTAGGATTGATACTAATATGATTGTTATCATTGTTTTTACAGACTTCAGCAGTGACGAATGTGATGAATGGTGGCAGTTGGACTTTTGCGTAATATGGCTGTTAAACAAATGTGCAAAGCATAATTTTTTGATGTTGCGGAATATACTTTATGTTTTTCCAGAATGTATGTAAAATACTACTTTGTGTTTGCAGCCTTATGTAGACTGGAGTTTTAGAATATTGGTATTTTGGAATTTGCTTTGAAGAACAAGTTAAATGTCTTTGAATTTTCATGTTGACTTTGATATCAATCTAAATGTTTTATGGAATACATTGAGGCATTGAGTAGTTATGAATTTGATTTTAGTTTGATAAGCTTGAATATTATAATTTTAGGTGGATATGATGGTTTCAAATATGATTTTGAACCCTAGCTTATAAAACTTGTTCAACACATGATACTGTATAAAAAAAATGATAGCAGCGTGTCATTATTATTTAAAACACCAAAGTGTCACAGAATCTTGATCGCGCAAAAATATCAGTAACGTTTGTAATACTAGAGTATCACTAATCCATATGACGTAAATGTATCATTAAATATGTCAACAGAAATGTATCGTTAAATCTTGTGATACCGTAGTGTCATCATTTACTGACACTTTTTCCGTGACACTAATTTTAGTGTCGCAACTCCCACCATTCGTTGACACTTTTTAAGTGTCACTAAAAATTTTAGTGACACTAATTTAGTGTCACTGTAGACCATTTTTCTAGTAGTGTATTGATAAATGGGAAAAAATATATTTAAGATATATTTATTAATAAAACAAAGAAATAAGTTATATGAAAAATAGGTAAAATGATTATCTACAGCAACTTCAGACAATACAACCAGAAAAGTAATTTCAACCTTACTTTTTTGCCCCCCTTAACTTTTAGTTTTCAAAATTAATAGATAGGCTCACATAATGCAATGCTTAATTGGAGATTTAAAAGAAGTAGAATCTAAAATAAGTAGAATCTAAAATAATTTACATAACTTAAACAAATAAACAATAGAACTCGTTGTTTAAGACTTAGGGCACAAAAAAATTCTTAGTTTTGTAATGTTTAATTATCTTTATTAGATAATTAGTACTCGATTTTGTAAGATATCAAAAGATATTGAATATCGGATACAGTAGTTAAATAGTATAAATTTGGCCAAAAAAGTTGGCCAAATTTTCTTTTTTGGATGTCCCAAAAAAATTTGTCATTTCCATTTAAAGTAAGGAATATGTGGCTAAAGTTAATTCCCTCTCCTCTGCACAAATTTCAACCACACAGCTTGTACTTTATTAATCCACGTGAAAGTCAACTTTGACCAACCTTTTCGGGAGGGAGGGAGTATCAAATTTGGTAATGTTGTGTGGTTGAAAACCATTGTTACTTCATTTTCACTTTATCAATCACATAAATTCGTTTTCATGTCAACCACACAATTTTCTCGTGTACTAAAATTAGGGGAACCTAGGTAGTAGCAAATGAGGTATACTTAAGAGCCCATTTGGTAACTCGTTATTCATCTTATCAGCCTTATCGGTCAATATTTTTATCAATCACGTAACTTTTGATTTCTCACACTGAATTGTGCAATAATCAAAATAAGTAAGATTAGACAACTTTTCTGACTCAATTGATTAGAATTATTGTAAATGATAATTTTAGCCATTTTCTATATAATTTTTTTAGTCTATTAATAAAATATTTTTTTAAATATAATCTTTCTATAATTCAATATATTCGAACAATTCAGCCACTTTAACAAGCATTTATTCAATTTCAATATTAATTGAGCAAATTTCTATTTGTTGTTTGACAAATAATAATGAAAATAAAGACATCCATAGTTCCATACTCATAAATCACATAATGATATGATATTAAGGAATAGCTTGTTATAATGTTAACAAGCGTACGTAGTAGTATACTTCGTATTTCTTAAGCAAAAAAAGAACTATGGAAGGATTAGAGCAAGGGAAAAAATGAAACGTGTGTGGCTTGTTTTGGAGTAATAATCTATTTGATGGGAAGGTAAATGTATTGAAAGCTTTAAAATATGTTAACTAACGGAATGCTAACGGAAAAGCAGGAGTAATTAGACATTAAAGATGCTATACATACTAAGGTACAATCATTTTTGCTCAAAGTACAAGTGTACATTAGCTTATAATTACACCAACACATTTTCCATACCTAAAGTACCCTTACCTTCATTGAGGCTTATAAGATTTTAGATTAGACTGGATTTTGGGGTGTTACATTTCTCCCTCCCTTAAAAGAATTTTGTCCTCGAAATTACCTGAGTTGACGTTGTTGAACAAATATGGATACTGGGCCATCATAGCTTCTTCGGTTTCCCCAAGCTGCTTCTTCCGTGGTGTGGTTCCTCCAAAGAACTTTGACTAAGGGAACTGTTTTATTCCTTAACACCTTCACATCTCGAGCTAGAATTTGTACAGGTTCTTCATAGGTTAAATCTTTATCAAGCTCCACAATTCCGGGTGTTAGTACATGTGAAGGATCAGATCTATATCTTCTTAGCATAGACACATGAAAAACATCATGTATTTGGCTCAACTCTGGTGGTAATGCTAGTCGGTAGGCTACAGGACCAATACGTTCAGTGATTTCGTAAGGTCCAATAAACCTCGGACTTAGCTTACCCTTTTTACCAAAACGCAATACCTTTTTCCAAGGAGACACTTTCAGAAAAACTTTTTCTCCTATAATATACTCGATATCACGACGCTTTGAATCAGCATATGATTTTTGTCTATCTGATGCTTCCTTGAGTCGTTGTTGAATCAATTGGACCTTCTCCTCTGTTTCTTGAATCAAATCAGGCCCAATGGTCTTTCTTTCACTTAGCTCTGTGCAACAGACGGGAGTTCTACACTTTCAACCATACAGAGCTTCATACGGTGCCATCTGGATGGTAGCTTGATAGCTATTGTTGTATGCAAACTCCATAAGAGGTAGGTATTTTTCCCAACTTCCTTTGAACTCAATAGCACACCTTCGCATCATATCCTCAAGAATTTGAATAACTCTTTCAGATTGACCATCTGTCTGAGGATGAAAAGCTGTGCTAAAGTTCAATTTCATACCAAGTGCCTCTTGTAAGCTTTTCCAGAATTGAGAAGTGAATCTTGGATCTCTATCGGATATGATGGATAACGGAATCCCATGTAGTCGAACTATTTCTTGGAGATACAATTCAGCCAACTTGTTTAAGGAAAAATCCCTTCGAATGGGTATGAAATGAGCGGATTTGGTAAGTCGGTCCACAATTACCCAAACTGAGTCATTCTTCCTTGGTGTCAAAGGTAATCCCACCACAAAATTCATGGTTACCCGATCCCATTTCCATTCCGGTATTGTAATGGATTGTAACAATCTAGATGGAACTTGGTGTTCAGCTTTAACTTGTTGGCAAGTGAGACACTTAGAAGTATACTCAGTGATATCATGCTTCATACCGGTACACCTGTATAGATTCTTCAAATCTCGATACATCTTGTTGCTTCCCGGATGCATTGAGTACTTTGTTTTATGTGACTCTTAAAGAATTCTTTGTTTAACCTCTCCATTAGGAACAACCAAACGTCCCTTGAAGCACAATCCACCATTACTTTGTTTAGTGAAATCTGGTTTCTCCCCTTTAGAAATTGACTCCACTATTTGAAGGCACTGGTCATCAGATTTTTGAGCTATTATGATTTCTTCTTGAAGTGAAGGTTTGAGATGTAATTCAGCTAGAGTTTTCCGACTCAAAGCATCTGCCACAACGTTAGCTTTCCCTGGATGATAATCGATTACACAATCGTAATCCTTGATTAATTCTAACCAACGCCTTTGCCTCAAATTTAGCTCCTTTTGCGTCGGAAGATATTTCAGACTTTTGTGATCTGTAAAGATGTAACACCTTTCCCCATAAAGATAATGTCGCCATATCTTTAAAGCAAAGACAATAGCGGCTAACTCCAGATCGTGTGTGGGGTAGTTCTTCTCGTGCTCTTTGAGTTGTCTCGAGGCATACACGACCACCTTTCCTTCTTGCATAAGAACACATCCTAGTCCATTAAGAGAAGCATCACTATACACGGTGAAGTCTTTACCTGTTACAGGTTGGACTAGCATTGGAGCTTCAGTGAGAACCTTCTTTATTTTATCAAAACTCTCTTGGCAAGATGGTGTCCATTCAAAATGTTTATTCTTCTTCAAGAGTTTATGGAGAGGTGAAGCTATCAAGGAAAAGCCTTTAACAAAGCGACGATAGTAACCTGCTAATCCCAGAAAACTTCGGACCTTCGTCACAATTCGAGGTGGTCTCCAATTTGTAATGGCTTGAATTTTCGTGGGATCAACTCTTATGCCATCTGCTGAAATGACGTAACCTAAGAAAGTTACTTGATCAAGCCAAAATTCACACTTCGAAAACTTGGCATAGAGTTTGTGCTTTTGTAGTGTTTCTAACACAATCTTAAGATGTTCCTTGTGCTCCTCCTCAGACTTTGAATAGACCAGAACATCATCAATAAATACAACCACAAATTGGTCTAGAAGGGGTTTGAATACTCTGTTCATTAGGTCCATGAATGTGGCAGGAGCATTGGTTAACCCAAAAGGCATAACCAAAAACCCATAGTGTCCATATATTGTTCTAAATGCAGTTTTTGGTACATCTTCCTTTTTCACAGGCAGCTGCTGATATCCCGAACGAAGATCAATTTTTGAGAACACTTTGGTCGAAGAGATCATCGATCCTCGGCAATAGGTAACGATTTTTCACAGTCACTTTGTTTAGCTGTCGATAATTGATACATAGTCTCATGGAACCATCCTTTTTCTTCACGAATAGAACGGGTGCGCCTCATGGAGACACACTAGGTTGGATGAATCCCTTATCCAAGAGATCTTGAAGTTGTGCCTTTAATTCTTTCATTTCAGCGGGAGCCATTCGATAAGGAGTTGCAGAAATGGGAGTGGTACCAGGAACTAGTTCAATATTAAATTCCACTTCTCCGGGAACAAGAATAGTATCACCTTGCTCAGTTTGAAGTAGTAATGTTTTGTCTTGGCAATTCACTATAGCTTTATGCTTAGAGAGCCAATCCATGCCAAGAATTACATCAAATTCTTGATAGGGTAATTCAATGAGATCTGCATTAAATTGTTTCCCTTGAACCTCTAAAGGACAGTGTCGGTATATTTGATTAACAATAATACTTCTCCCTAAAGGTGTGGACACCTCCATTTGGATGTCTAGATGTTCTTTTGGATATTCATATAATTAAA